ACTCCGGGAGCTGGACCGCGAGATCGACCGCTACGAGGCCAAGGTTCACCTGGACCGCATGCGGCGGCACGGAGTCAACTACGTGCAGGATACGTACCTAGTAGGTACTGACATCGACCTCGACGGGCCGACTCCTGGGGAGGAGCCCGAGGAGGCGACGTTGGCAGAGAAGGGGACCGAGGCGGTGGCAGCCCTGGACCTGGACGGCGAGGCTCAGGCGGCCGCGCTGGAGGAGTTGGCGCAGCGCTGCGACGACCTGGTGCGGCTGCAGGAGGAGCGCGCCCAGCAGGAGGAGTTGCTGGAGCGTCTGTCCTCCGAGATCCAGGAGGAGCTGAACCAGCGGTGGATGAAGCGGCGCAGTGAGGAGCTGGCGTCTCGAGAGGAGTCCCCGGAGCCTTACGGTGGACCTGATGGTGAGCTGCTGCTGGAGCAGGAGCGGGTCAGGACGCAGCTCAGCACCAGCCTTTACATCGGGCTGAGGCTCAGCACGGACCTGGAGGCCGTCAAGGCTGACTTGGATTACAGCCAGCAGCAGAGGGACATCAAGGAGCGTGAGCTACAGGGCCTTCTCCAGACTTTGCGCACTTTGGAGCAGACAGTGGTGAATGATGGGGCTCTGGGTTCAGGTGGACCCTCGCGGGAACCCCAGCCTCAGACCTGTGCAGAGATGTGGGTAGACCAGGCCCGGGGACTGGCTAAGAGCTGCCCTGGCAACGATGAGGACTCAGATACTGGGCTGAGCTCTATGCACAGCCAAGACTCGGACTCGGTACCCCCTGTGTGTGAATCCCTTGTGTAGTAGTAGTAGTAGGGAGTCAGCCTAGAGGCTTACAGCATGCACAGGCCCGGCCTGCTCAGGGACATGAAGTGTGGTCGTGGGATGAGCTTAGAGTTCCCACGGGTGGGTCTGAAGAGTGGAAAGGACACCTGCTAGGCAACATGCTCCTCTGACTCAGGATGAGTGTGGAGGAGGGTCAGAGACAAGGAAGCCCTAAACTTCCTAAGCTTCCCGGGAAAAGGAGTCAGGAGGTGAGAACCCCTCCCTATTTTTAGAACACCTTAGGTAAATCGACGAGGTCCAAGCCCATTTTCAAAACAAGATAAAAGAAAAATATTATGAATGTTTTAACCACTCCTCTGTATGGGAAGGACTGATGACAGCTAGAACTATGGTCTGTGGCATAAAGAGCTGGTAAAAGAAAACACTTGGATGAAAAGGAAATTCCTTGAATGTTAATTGTGACTGGAAACGTGTTAAAACTAGCCAAAGAGGACGCACTAGTGTTGGTCTCTGCCTTGCTTAACATCTTTGATAAAACCCATAGGCACCAAAACTCTAGCTGTTTACATTTCTTCAGGTTTGGGAATTACCCATCTGCTAAATCATTTGCCTTTTATTTCTGTCAAAGGCCAAACCGCATTGAAATCTAAGGCTGTGTTTCTGCCTACTTAATGCAATGTGTTAAAAGCCCTCCCCCCAATCCTCTCCTGGACTCCACCCCAAACATAGCCCCTTTGAATTATAAAAATCCTGGCACACATAATCCAGGGTAGAAATCTAATCTCTACATTTGGGATGGGTTTCTGCAAAGGCAGATGTGCTGTCTTCTAGTTCATGATGCCTATTCATTGACTAAATTACAGTTAAGAAAAAAAAAAAAGGGAAGCTGCAGAATGAGGCCCATCCCATTTTGCTGTTTTGATGAACATTCTAGTGTCAACTATAACTTGAAAGCAAAGATCTTTGCATAGTGTTTAGATGTTAAGTCCAGCTCTATGATTAAAATCAACCATGACCTTCATGAATGTTACCCAGATCCAAGTCCAACTTCAGTATCTCCTGTTGGAGTTAGCGTTCTGGTTCAAGTAGACTGCAAGTGTCAATTAACTTCAAGTGCAAACATCAGAGTTTACTAGCCTCCAAATCTAGACTGCAAGTGTCAATTAACTTCAAGTGCAAACATCAGAGTTTACTAGCTAAGGCCTCCAAATCCGATAGGCCACCATGGGTAAACAAATAGATTAGCCATAACGCAGAGCCATGGTAAATGCACATGAAAGTGAGCTAAGAACTTGAGCTGCTCCTGCCTGGCTGCACCCCTCCTCTCATGGCAGGAGAGATATAAGGTGGCATTATCTCCTGTAGCTGTTGATAGTGCTGGGGGTTGCTCAGTGTAATTGTTCCAGGTATTTCAATAGAAACTTATCAGTTGTAGTAAACTGCTCGGCTGGTGGAAGGAGCTTGCTGGTCCATTTCCCTGTGGAGCGAAGGACTTCCTGAGGAATGTGGATCTTGTGTCTGGAGAAGGTAATAACAATGGGGTGTGTGTATGTTGCCAGTGAGGTACAGAAGGCTGGTATCAACTGAACTGGCTAGGGGCCGGCTCCTGTTTCCACAATGACATGCTAAGATAAGTTCAGAGGCCTCTGGATTTTGTAGCTGTTTCTTCCCTTGCGAGATCAGCTGCCTGCGTGTCTCCAACAGGAATATGTCTTCCTCAAATAACCATTGGAGCCTTTCCTTTTCACAACTGTCCCAACACTGCTGCTGCTGTGGAGTTATAACACATGCGACTGTTCTCAGATTTTTAAGTAAAATCAAAATGAAAAGGCGGTTTTCTTAATTGATACTTTTTGAAAGACCTTATTTGGTATAATTATGTTGTTGTTGTTTAGTTTCGTTTGACGCAGAAAACATCTCACATTTGGTCCTGTGGCCTCATTCAAATGAGGAAGGGCTCAGAGAAGCTCCCTATCCTCAGACAGTCATTTGATTCTGTACACACAAAGCTTAATGGCAGCCTTCCTTTTGAGGCAGAGGTAAAATCCTCATTAGAGTGTGACAAATGCCACCTGTCTGAATGGTTTATGCTGGCAATGGGCTGACCTGGTGGTTTTTTAAATTATTGTGCTTTTTTTTTCCTTCCCCCCCCAGGGTTGTAGGGGAGGTGGCTCTTGGACGTTTATTAACTCAGAAAGAACATAGAAGTTGGCAGAGCGAGACTGCCTGGCAGAAAGGAGCTGTTCTTCTTTTGACTATTATTATTTTAAACTTTGATGGGTAGCTGACGTCAGCAAATATGCCTGAAACCTGCAGAGCAAACATGCCACATCACAGGAGGAAGGCCTGCGGGATTTTAAGAACATTCCCTGTCCCTACCACCTGAAGATGTTTCCCTACTTAAAATGCTCAGGCATCTGGGGAGGCTTTGCTTATAGGATAGTCCAAAGGATAGTTCGGTCTGCTCTTTTTTTTCTTTTTCTTTCATTCCAATCAATTCTATTCCCCAAAGGTACTCTGTGTGAATAGGAGAATTGGGGTGGGAGGAGAGGCAATAGTTTCTCTTGTGAAAAGTTCTTGTCACAACAGTGTGTGTAGCCTCAAAGTCTTACTGAGGCTGAGTATGTTACGGTTTCCTCCATATGAATAGTTCTCATGACACTAGGGGTGAGACAGCATTGCAGCCACTGTCCCTGAGAGAGAGACTTCTGCTCTCTAGTTGTTTTCAGGTCCCTTAGACATCCAGCAAGCTTGTGAGGGGAACACCATAAGGCTGTGCCCCAGCCAGCTGTCTTTCTTCTGGAACTAGGAGATCCATTATGTGTCTGTTCCTGTACATCCCATTCACAGCATGCTTCAGACCTAGGTTCCATATGGCCTCACTATGTGTGTTTACGTGGTGGAAGGAGAGAACTGACTCCTGCAAGTCAGCAAGTCATCCACTGACCTCCACAGGTGTGCCTTGTCATGCACCTGTGGACACACACACACACACACACACACACACACACACACACAGAGAGAGAGAGAGAGAGAGAGAGAGAGAGAGAGAGAGAGAGAGAGAGAGACATACTCTATAAATAAATGTAAAAAGATGGCGATTATTATTATTATTATTATTATTATTATTATTATTATTTTGCTCCTTGGAAAAGCTACACAGCACCATCTTGATGAAAATACTGAAAATAGCATGAATTTTGGAAAGAAAGAAAAGCCACACCCAGTGTCTTACCACCACAAAACCATGGCCAAAGTTTGCCTTTTCTCTTCAGGACTTTTTATGCATTTTGATTTCCTGTTTTGCTCTGTTGTTATACAAAATCATCTTGATACAATTACATGCATGTTTTCTCCCCCACACCTTGGCCAACCACTCACGAGGAGCAGATCCCTTCAGCTGGTAAGTGCTTCATAGTTTCTGTGACAGCTCGGTCATCTATAGCACCCCAACCACTTTAAAATAACTCTGTGCTAAGCTTCCTTGTGAGTGCATCGGCTATGGAGAATCTTCTTCCCCTCCCCCACGAAGATTGCCAGGAAGAGAATTCTCACATTCAAGAGCAGATGCATTTATCAGCTTCATGCTTATTGCCACACTTATTTTCAAACAATTCATTCTAATTAAAGTATATAAGAGTACCCATTTCATCCTAAATGACATTAGATACTGTTTTTTATTGTTGTTAAAAAAATAGTTTCACCAGCCGAGCATCACTGCTCTGAAATATCTTTGTAACAAGGTGTGTCAGCTGCTAGAGGTGTTTAGGGGCCTGGGGTACAGCTCAGTGGTAGAACTTGTGTAAATGCTCATGGCCCTGGCTTTGACACAAAGGCACAATGACAACAAAAGCCTTTACATAGAGCTAAAATGACCTGGCAGTGAGTAGGGATGTAGCTCAGTTGGAAGAGCTGCCTGGCAGGTAAGAGCCCTGGGTTTGATCCTCAGCATTGTGTAAAATCAGGCATAGCTGTTCATAACTATAATCCCAGCATCCAACAGGTGGAGGAGGAGGATCAAAGTCATACTCACAGTGAGTTTGAGGCCAGCCTGGGCTACATAAGACCTCGCCTTAAAAAAAAAAAAAAAAAAAAAAAAAAAAAAAAAAAAAAAAAAAAAAAAGGGGGCATAGTTTTTTTTTATTTTTTTTTTTTTTTCTTTTTCTGGGCAGATTTACCTGCTAGCAATCTTGTCTCCCATCATAATTGACTAATGATGTGAGGATAGGAGGGGCGGCACTCATAGGAGCAGGGTGAAGGAGATAACAGAAGAACTAGAGTTATAAAAACAAACAATTATCTTCTTCATCTGAGTCTAGCGGGACAGTGATTCTTAGAAGGTGATGTCATGAAATCATTTGTGTTCCTCTTTACACATCTCTATCGAAAATTAAACCTAAACACAATAAACACACAGGCCAAGTTGCTAATTAACAGCTGCTAACAGTGTAGATTTGTCTGGGATTTTCTTTCTAGCTAGGACATTACACTTGAGCTCATTCTTGGATTCTTTTTTATTTTAGTTTTTAGCTACTGTGTATCATTCAGTTCTTAGACTAGTTCCCCCTTTTACATTTATTTATTTATTTGGGGAGGGGCAGATGCCAAGGTATGAATATGGAAACCAGGACAAATTATGAATTCACTTCTCTGCTTGTGCCATGTGGGTTCAGGTTGTCTGGCTTGGCAGCAAGTGTCTTTACCCACCTAGCCATCTTGACAGCCCATTCTTAAATTCTTTTTTTTTTTGTTTGTTTGTTTGATTGTTTTTGAGACAGGGTTTCTCTGTGTAGCCCTGACCATTCTGGAACTTGCTCTGAGGTAGTGCTGGCCTCAAACTCAGAGATTCATCAGCCTCTGCCTTTGGAGTGCTGGGATTAAAGGCATGTGCCATCACTACCCAGTTTAAACTCTTGAAAGGAAGTCAAGTCTCCAGTGCAGAGATGTTTGCCCTATCTACCTCTATCAGGAAGGACAGAGGGCAAGTGGGAAAGCCAGTGTTGCCTGAGTTCTTCCTAGAGGCTTCATCTTAGGATGACAAACATTTCCCTGCATTCCTCTGGTGAGGTGGACCTTTTGAATTTTTATCTTTTACAAAGAAACTAAGTTTGTCTTTCTGGTCAACAGCTGATATGAGATTCCAGCTCAAGCCTGACCTCAGGGCCAGTGCCCTGCATGCTATACACACCAGACATCTGCACAGAAAGCTCAGCAGACCTGTGAGAAAAAAATCCCTCAAAGGTCCCAGCATTGAAAAGGCTTAGCCATTTGCAAGGTCTTGTTTGGTTGTTTCCTTCAGGGAGGTAGAATAAACTCCTCCATATCCCAGAGCTAGTAATTATCTATCAGGTGAAGATCTAGCACAAGACAGAGGTGAGAAATTCCCAATAAATATGTGAGTGGCTGTAAGAAATAGAAGGCCAGGCAGAGTGATGCACACCTTTAATTCCACCCAGCACTTGAGGCAGGCAGATCTTTGTGATTTTAAGACCAGCCTGGGCTACATTAGTGAATTCCAGGACAGCCAGAGTTACATAGTGAGACCTTGGCCCCCAAACAACAAACAAATCAACAGATAGACAGACAAAAAGGAGAAGAAGAAAAGGAAGGAAAGAAGGAAGGAAGGAAGGAAGGAAGGAAGGAAGGAAGGAAGGAAGGGAGAAAATGTTCACAAATCAGCACCAGACATATTAGAATGCTCCAAGTGGGTAGCAGTCTTACAGAGCAGAGCTGTGTGGTCAGCCACCCCAAGCTGGACAAGAGCTGTCTCTAACTTTGTAGTTTTATTGATTGGTCTCATGTAGCCAGGCCTAGCTTGAACTTCCTATATGGCCAAGAGTGACTTTGAATTCCTGACTCCACTGTCCCCA